AACGTCAAGAAAGAAACATGTTAGAATCAGCCTCGGACGGGGCGAAGGAGAGAGGAGGACCTAGACGACCATGGATAACAATATGACGTCAGGAACTTGACAGACAGGGCTGGCCGATTGTCAAAATGTTTGGGGGGGGGGGAGGTTACTTTGTTTTGTTTTGTGGTTGTTGGTTGTTTTTCTTGTAAGTGTTTTACGGCCTACTCTTGTCGATTTTGGATCACCAAAGGATCTTTAACGTGAGCAACTTGCACACGGTACCTCCGAGATTTTTGGCCCTTGTCCGAGAAGGCTGGGTGTTCATCTTACCTACAATATGATCAGGGGTGTGACTGAAAGACAGGAGTAAGAAGGAGCCAAGGAGAAGTATTAGAAAGGCTCCAGAAAGAGTCAGGGGCCCAGAGGAGGGGGCAAAGGAGGTGCGGGATGGGGGCAGAAAGTGGATACGAAAGCAGACAGCAGGCCATTGTTGGAGAGCAGGAAAGGATGGGAAAGAAGAAAAATTTAGAGAAGAAATTGTTCCGTTTCTATCCGGATTCGAAACCGGGACCTATTGAATACGAGGTGAACACTTTAACCTCTAGGCCATGAGAGCCCCCAAAATCTTTGGTAATTGAGTTCATAGAGGGGAATTGGGTGTACTGCCTTTCCTTTTTACTTTTTTTTCTTTTGAGGGTTCGATACATAAACGTTATAACAAAGATCGTTCATAACAAGATAGTTCACCCTTTCGTTTCTCCAGAAGAAAAATAGGAAAAGCACAGTTTGTTAGTTTCACTGTTATTGTTTTTCACACAAGTAGGATAACCCTGGTCGCAAAGTCCACTCTTTTTCAAAGAGGGCGCCCCAAAATTTTGAGGACGCTTTTTTAATTGGCTCAAAGAGAGGAGTGAACCGTCTTGTCCTGTACGATCTTTGGTAATACACAACCGAGTATATAATTATTGCACTTTTCCTTTTGCTGTGATCGCAGGTAAAGTGCTCCATTCTGTTACTGTGAATAACACAAGTCTTTGATATAACTCACGAAAAACCTGCCCTGTATTATTATAGGTATAAATCTAATCACACCTCACCCTCAAATGTTTATTGATATAGTTACAGCTCACACACAAATTTTTATCTATAGTTACATCTCTCTCTCTCTCTCTCTCTCTCTCTCTCTCTCTCTCTCTCG